TCTCAGAGCAGATAGAGAAATGTGTCCTGAACATTTTTTTCCAAAGTGCTTTCCCTCGACACTAGAGCGCTTGCAGACAAGGTTGTAAAATACGGAAAAAAAGCGATTTTCCAGTCGAAAATTTTGCTTATGCTCTAATTCCGTCAAATCAAATGCTAATGAGCTTAAATTTTTACCAGAACTGTCTTGGTATTAGTACTATCTATGATAAAAATTTGAACTTGTTTAAGTTAAGCGTTCTGCAGAAATAGCTTGTTCTTTAGACCTAGACAAAAGATCATCGGCNTTCTTTAGACCTAGACAATATCGGGCGAAATATCGGGACTTTGGAAAAACATCTTTGAAAAATCGAAATTTGATGTTAAAAACCTGCGGTTTGCCGAGATCGATAGAAAATTGAATTCTGCATCGAGCTGTTGAATCAGAAAAATTGTTTAATTGACGAAACTGGCTGAATTTCAAGATAGCTTTGGGAAAAGGTTTTCCGAAAAACCTTGGAAAATTCGAGGTTCTGGGCGGTTTTCTCCTTTTCTATGCACTGCGGAATCGTCATGTATAGGTCATTCGACACAGAATTTCATTCTGCGTCGAATGACATATAATCCAGCGGATTTTAAAAGAATTTTCAGGTTTTTCCGAGGTGCGCTGACCGTTTTTGACAAGAGGTCCCCGTGTGTTTTCCATCATTTTCCCAAAAATTCGACGACGATTCAGGATAGTACTATGGGTCTACTTCACGAAATCATAGAGAGCCCTTCAAATGGACCATCTTCGGTTGCAAAACGGCCGATGATCTTTTGTCTAGGTCTAAAGAATAAGCTATTTCTGGAGAACGCTTAACTTAAACAAGTTCAAATTTTTATCATAGATAGTACTAATACCAAGACAGTTCTGGTAAAAATTTAAGCTCATTAGCATTTGATTTGACGGAATTAGAGCATAAGCAAAATTTTCAACTGGAAAATCGCTTTTTTTCCGTATTTTACGACCTTGTCTGAAAGCGCTCTAGTGTCGAGGGAAAGCACTTTGGAAAAAAATGTTCAGGACACATTTCTCTATCTGCTCTGAGAATTTAAGAAACATTTATTAAAGTTCATTGAGCAACTTAGTTCGTCCCTATCGTGCACTGCCTCATAGAAGTTTTTTCTTTTAAAAAAAATACTTACAGATGTTAATTCATCATGAATTACACAATTAAATTTCGAATCTACAAATAAATAACAGATATATACACGCTAAAAGTTGGATTCAATGTGTTCAATTGTATTAGTATCTTTCAGAAAATTAGAATTGATCATCGTCTAAGAAACACACATACTATGGCAATCAGTTTCAGGTTTTTTGTCCCGCGAACTCGTCCCAATCAATTTGTCTCGGTACTTTTTATCACAGAAAATTCATCTGATACAATTTTTCCTGTTCGTCATTTCAACTTGTCCGTGTATCATCAGATTCATTCAACAACGATGATAGCAAAATAGAATATAGATATTATCCTGTTTTGTTCTTCCAGTTTAGAGGTATGTATGTATTGCTCATAATTGAAAAGCGATTAGAACGGTCCAAATTTGGGATTTATATAACTGAACGAGAGCATGAATGTAATGCAAAAAAGCGGTGTATCGAAAACTAGATAAACAATTAAAACGTTTAGTAATGAGTTATGATTTCTAATTTAGTTGATGATCATGTATCTTGAACAGTACCAAATTCATCATTAGCTCAATTATACATGTATGTGATTCTTGAGAAAGAGAGAGACAAGATGTTATTTTCTTGATAAAATTCTCTTGAAATATTGCATGTATAAGAGTGAGTTAGTGGTAAAAACGCAGATCTACACAATTATATTCTTTTCTAATGTCAGAAGAACATAATCTTATTCTACAGATCAGATGGATTGACGAAGAGACAAATTGTATCAGATTAATGTTCTGTGACAAAAACTACTGAGAGATATTGAGACCATAAAAGAATGAGACTAAATTCTGGAAAGCTGAAATAATAAGTACACTCACTCATATTCAATTCAATTTTCTCATTTATTATGCAACATTCGTTCAACGCTTCTGTTGTAAAATTTTGAACACCTCCACTTTCGCTGGATGAAAGTTCACTACTACTATCATAAATACAATGTTTGATAATGAATTTATCGTCATTAGACGATGATGGCGATAAATATGTTTGCCGTTGTTGATCATCTTCAGTATTATCTTTCTTTCTGATTATATACGATTTTTCCCGACTACATTTTCGCTCATCGACTGTTAGTGATGATACACGTGTGTGGAATTTAGTTTCCTCATCTTTATTCATATTATTCATTTGTTCATCATGGTTATATGGAATCTTATCTTTACTCAATGATGAATGCCGAACAATCGATTGTGGTGTAATGTAATTAATAACGTTATCATCAACAACAGGATTTAACTGTCTGATCGGTGTTTCAAAAATATTGTGCTGTTGTTTTATTTTACTATTTTGACTTTTCAGTAGTAGTGGTGCCAGCGGTGGCGGTGGCGGTGGTGGTGGCGGTGGTAGTGGTAAGGACGATGTTTTTTTATCTTTCTCATTAGTAGTTATTGAACTAGGCAATTTTTCGAACAGTAACGACGTACTGTTCTTGACACCATCACCAACAGTTAAACTACTAGCGTTTTCCTGTGATTGTTGTTGCTGTTTAACTGAATCAACACCATTTGGTAATGTTATATTGGCTCTGTTGGGTTGATTATTATTATGAAACTCAAATATTCCAGAATTAAACAAATATGGTTTTTTATTCGGTTGGGTTTTGACTGATACGCTATAAAAGAAAAGCGCGTAAGGATGAAAGTGTTACAGCTTCTACTTTAAAACAAAAATCAAATATAGCCATTATACGACCACACACTCTTGAAAAATCAAAACATAAAATGTATTTACCTGTCGTTTACATCTACTGGTGGAATTAATGGTGGTGGTAATTTTGACAATTGTACTTCCTCATCATCGCGTGTTAACGAACATGAATCATTTGATGGAAGATGATTATGATAAAAATAATGATATGGTTTAGTTACTTCATTTTTAGCTACCGATTCTTTATCGAGATTATTATCACGCAACTGTATTGGACTTGTCGAACTATCTTTCAAAACGTGATTTCTTTTCATTTCATGTGTTGTTCGAATATTATCATAATTATTATCGTTCTTTCTGTTTCTTCTAGAATATTCAGATGATTGTTTAACTATTGATGCCATTTGTTCATACTGTTTTATTTGAAATGTTTTACGATGATAATAACCATAAATATTTTCTAATAAATGTGTTAAACAATTGAATAATTTTAACGGTTTACGATTATGTTGTAAACATTTTCTTTCATCATAATCATATAATTGATGATGATAATTATAGTTATTTTCATTATCATTTGTTTCAATAAAAGTTGGTATTCGATTATTTTGTTCATTAAATGTTATAGTTGTACTGTGTACATTTGTCAAATACGCTTTGACATGTTCAATTGAATACAGTATTTTATAATCTTCAAAGAGATCGTCAAATTCAATTTTACTAACGTCAGTATTATTTTGAAAATTATCTTCATGTGATTGAAATAATAATTTCAAATTGTGATACTCATCTGTCTCATAGTAGGCTGTCGTTGGTGAATTTGAATAATAATCTTCAAATAATATGGGAACTTTAGCCCAATGCCATTTAATAAAAAATAATTCCGTTTCGGATACATCTGATTCTTCATCATCATCGTTCGGCTTCTTTTTAAAATAAGATGGTATACCTTCAAAAAAACAAAAAAAAGAATTGAAATGAATAGTTACTTGTAAGAGCACACGTGTATAACGGAGATCGGCACGGGCCGAAAATTTTTGGCTCGACCCGATGCTGAAAGTTTCCGGACCATGCCCGACTCGACCCGACTGAACGTAAAAACTATCTGGCCCGGTCCGACCAATCGTGGAAGTTTTCTGGCTCAGTCCGACCACTTTACGTGATTTTCTTCTTGGGTCTGTTATGCTTTTGCTGACTAAACAGTGTAAATGTATTTCTCAAGCTAATATCTATATTTTTATGATTTCTCAGTACCGAGTGTACACATAAATTACAAATCCACGCATGCTTAAAAATTCTAAGTTCGGCCCGACCCGACCAAAATACTTTACGATCCAAGCCCGGTCCGTGCCGATCTCTGGTGTATAAGCAAGAAGAACTTTTTAACGTCATTTTCGACTATGATAAGAAGAGATATGACATCTCTCTAGAAAAATACTATTGTTTACCTAATGTTAATTGAAATCGTTTATCCATATCTAATTTCAAAAACCAATTAACATAATAAAATAATAAACATATCGGTTTAAAAATTGCAAATTCAATAATAAATACATAAGATAATAGGAGTGGACAATGCCGATAAAATTCATTGATATTTTTAACCAATGATAATAATGCTCGCGAAAATTTTGGTATAGTATAAAACCATTCTAAAAAACCTTTTGGCATTCGTAATTCTTTTAATAAATTGATATCAATATCAAATGTTAAATTTGTCGACTGTATTTTATAATCTTGTGATTTTATATAGGTAATAATTGTTGTTGCAATATCTTTACTTTCCAAAAATTGATAGAGTGCATTTTCCAAATTAATATTTGTTTTTAATTGTCGACGATCAAAATATAAACATATTGAACAATGACAATTATCGGAGAGAACTTTAACAAAATCGGGTCGTCGATTTTTTGGTATAATTATTGATTTTCGACCGATAAATTCAGATTTTATTATTGGTGGTAATGATAATTCTGCACGATTTTTGTTAGAAGAAGATGTTGATGTACATAATTTGAATAAGGGACTATTTAAATTTGAATGGTAGATGGATGGTGGTGGTGTTGGAGGCAATGAAGGAGATCGAACATAATTTTCACGAGATTGTTTAATGATCTGAGGAGAAAATGAAACACGTTTTTCTTGCTGTTTTGGTATTGGAGTTGTGAATACATCATCATTCAAATCGTGACATTCCATTCGATTTGTGTCACTAAAATTTGAATTAGAAGCAAAAAGAGATGGTGGTATTAATTTTTCTGATGTTTTATTCTTATTAATATTGTTAGTTAGTACACTTTTTTTCAATGAAGGTTCGATACTTTTTGTTAAACGTTCAAAATACTCCTCTGTATTATTATTAGTGTTTTTAACTGTTGCTGATTTTATGGATGTTAAACTAGGAGCAAAAGAAGATGATGATTCGGATGTTAAACTTGTATCAGTCAATGTCATAACTGATGATTTATCTTCGTCGTTTACTGAAAATATATTCGAAGTTTGTTGTTCGTTTCTATCATCAATATCAAATATATTCATTGAATTTTCACAATTATTATTAAAATTAACATTGATAAAATTTGAAAATAAAATATTTTTTTCATTTGAAACATAAAATCTAAATATAGAAAAGAAAGATAAATATTAGGCATTATATTCAATCTCAGAATTAAAGTTAGAAGATCAATTTCAAGTTTTTAATTAGAACTCATATCATGTTTTAAAGAATTTCAAAACGATTTGTTTTAAAGTTTATTTGTAAGCGGATTTCAAGCGGACTACGTTCTAGGAAATATATCTTTTTAGAATATTGTATAAAAGCAAATCTTCAGATTGCTATTTTTTAAAATAGACTTAAATCGAAATACTAAAAAACATTGAAATTAGTGCACAATACCCGACTTTTTCTTGTGGTGGTGTTGGTTGATCCCAATTGTTAACTTCATCTGTAAGAAGATTTCTTTCAACTTTAACAATTTTTTGTGGTTCTTCTTGAACTAATTGTACATCGGCTACTTTTTTTGTAGAGTAGCCATCATCAGTTTCTTGTTGTGTTTTCAGTAAATTCCACGAATTTTGCAACGTTGTGTGAATCCATTTGTCACTATTTTCAGACTGATCAATCGTATCAAATGATGTTGCTCGAGATATTTGACTTGATGTGTTAATTGTTCGTTTTCGATGAACTGGCAAAAATGATGTTTGCGTGGTTTTATCACTGGATTGAGAATTTTTATTATCACGTGAAAGTTGCTCTTGTAGTAGCGTACTTGGCAAAGGATTAAGATCTCGAGTTTGATCTTGTATGATTGCTGTTGTCGACATTGAATAATATTGTGATTCGGATGAACATGCGGATGAAAACGACGAATTACATAGCTCATTGTTGACTGATTTTAGATTCTCATAACTGGTAATTAAAGATGTTGGTAAAATAACTGGCGTCGTTAATTTTCGACTAAATTCAGGTATTATAATACCAAGATTGGAAGAAATTCTCTCTTACACGATCATGCATTTCCAAAAAATAACATGCAATTTTATTTAACCATGCAAATAGCCAAAGCAAAGACCAAACATCATGGAAAACATACCTTTTGTCCATTATTTGTACTCTGGAAGCATGTTGAGTATTAAATAGTCGTGATTCGTATGATCTTGATCTTTCAGAGTTTCCTGGTAATGGATGCGACGCACGTCTTGAACGATCAGCACTGTAATAACGAATAGTTTCATTTAAATTTGAACGAAAATCAACATCTCTTCGTCTGATTGATGACAATGATGGCGTTGATGTTTGTGTTACGGGAGTTATTGGCTCGTCTACAATGTATTCATGTTCATTCTTTATTTCCTCTACTGGCAATTCTGAACGATAACAGCTCCACTGTGACAGTATACTATTATATACTTGTTCAAATAGATGCGTGATACTTCGATCTTGTGGTAATTGTGACTGGCTTGGATGCCATTGAGGCAAGTAAACTGCAACTAACGTATTAGAATTTTCATTTGATGCTGGTACCTGTGGTACGAATGGCTCATTGCAAATATCGTCACTTTTCGGGGCGTCATTATTTTGCTCCATTTAATTACTTTTCTCTAGAAAAAAAAATACTTTGCATATTGAATGCAAAGGATTCTCTTGTGTAAAGGCACGAGATGTGATCGAAACTCGATTTTTACTCTTGAATTTGATCTATTAATACTTCTCTTTCTCATCGAGAAAACTAAAATTAGATAACAGCTTAATCTTACAAATAAAAACTGTTAATACTTACGTTTGTGTTTGCACTAATTGATTTGTTTATAGATACTGCAGTCTGCAGTGCTGTCACAATAGCTAGCTACCACACTCGAAATGCACATCAGCAATAAAATTCTTCTAGTCATAGTTCCCGATCAGGTGGGCGTTGGCCCTTCTTAAAAAATTTTTGATCTTTGGCAAAATCTTTGACCTTTTTCCACCAGCAACGTTCTGCCAAAAATTTCGAAACTTTTTTTTGCCAGCCACTTTCTGCGAAGCAAAAACAAAAGCAAGTAGCGGTATCACGACCGGCAGGGATTCTGAGAGCGCCCGCAATAATTCAGAAGTTTTGCTTTTTCCTAGCAGAAGACAACGCGAAAGGCTCTTCTACGACCTCTACAGCGGTATTAGTAGTGATTGAAGCTCAAATCCAAAGGTTGCGACATTCCCACTCTTAATGCTGGCACTATCTAAAACGTTCGTTTATTGACGACATGGGCAGGTGACGCCAGTTTCTTCTTAACATAAGAAATGGGAGAGAAGTAGCAACTTAATAGAGCCAAGAGAAAAAGGGAGGAAAACGATGACGTTATAAATGAACTCGTTACGCCTAGTGTATCCGAACCTCTATCAAATAACTAGAGTATCAGAGCCTAATTTCATTGGTCCTTACCTGTTGATGCCAGATACCCTTGTCTTTATCAAAACATTCTCTTTTCTTTTCTGCGCACGCGCAGATGAAAAGACCTCAATTCTATAATTATTCTAATCTGTGATGCTTTGAGTTGAAATCTACTATACAGGGAATTGACGATCATGGTATATATCTCACAGCAGCGCCACATGCAACGATGAAGAAAATGCGAAAATGATGGCACAAAAGCACTAAATTGTAGTTTCAAAATGATCATACTCCATACCATTAAATTAAATAACTAATTACTGAGATACTAAGTTAAAATGACCTAAGAAAGTATTGCATTTATTCGTCACTGATAGTATGAAATTGATTTTGTTAACTGTCAAAGTGTAATCTACCATCTATCTCTGTTCAAATGAAAAAAATGTTTTAAAAAGCTTCACAAGTGAAAAAGAAGAAAATAAGAGTGAATAATCAAAGAAAAAAAAGTCAGAAAAAATATTAATACAGACTTGTTGTATACATAACAACAAAATAGAATCTTATGACACAAACATATCTACAATAACAACAAATGATTGTAGAAACATATCGAGAGTATAATAAGAATACAAAACATGAAAATAAATATCCCTGAGAATGCATCTGTGATAAAAAAAAACAAAAAAATAGAGAAAAAGATTGACTACTACTTAAAAAAGATCTTGAAAATAAATAACTCTCATTTTTTTACCATCTATGCATGTCTTGAACGTTTAACACTCTGACTACTGTCAGTAGATGGACGTTTTCGAAGAACTCGTGAAATGGATGTAAGATGATCTGCTGGTGATTGTGTGGCTATTGCTGCCATAACCATCATTGGTCCTTTTAAAATATGATCAAAAATATATTTTAACGATTTAAATTCAAGTGTTTTCCAATCAATATTGAGTGCTTGCAATTCCAGTTGAACGTTTGATGACATAATAAGCGATGAAGACATTGATGAAGTTGATGAACGAGTATTGAATACGTGTGTTACTTCTCTAATATTTTTTAAATTAAGAACCTGACCACCGCCAGCAATTATTACCAAACTATAGGGAGTCGAATGGTCGATATCACACAAAAAACATACTTTCCATCCAGAAAACATGGTTTGTTTTGTTTCATGATTTGTATATAAACGCCATTGTTTTGCAACGTTGATCAATAGTTCAATTTCTTTTGTGTACTGTTGTTGTTGTGGTTGATGTCGTTGTTCAACAATATAATTAGCCCATTCGTATTTTTCTTCATCAATCAAATTATTTTGACGTTGACATTCATAAACGTAGCTTGGATGTAATATCCATTTACCAGCAGCTGAAATAGAGTCCAAAATTGACATGCCCGTTTTGCTGCGACATCAATCACAAATAAATACTCACCTATAAATGCTAATAATTTTTCTGTTTTTATGAATGTGCCAGTTATTAAATGTGAATAAATTGGTTTGTAGCAATTTGATTCTTCAACCGAACAAGACTTAAATTTTGATAATATTTCAATTGTTTTTAATTTTGTACGATCTGATAACGAACTGATAAGAAAATTTTTTTGTTCCGAGTCACTAACATCACTAATATTATCATCATTTTCCATCATTTGTGTCCAGTCATCGTTTTTTAATAATTCTCTTATACGTCTACGTTCAGCTAGTGTATTATCATCTAACCATTCGACAGTGACGGCAGATGAGACATGACGTGTTTGTGCTGGTGGCATGAATGCGGATGGTGATGTTTTCCCATTAATTGTAGATGATGATGTTTTTTTGAAAATACGATGTGAATTTGTTCCTACTGGAACAACATAGGCGGGTGGCACTGATATTGTAGAAGAAGAAACGCACGATTTTGTATGCAATATTTTCATTTCATGATCGATATCGGTCATTAATTGATTGACCATTATTTGTGACTCTGTTGGTGGCAATAATTCACCAACGTTATATAATTGTGTATCTGTCATTGGAGTTGGAAATGATTCTTCTTCTTTTGTAGGCACAGTCTAAAATAAATCATTAAGCAATGATAAATATTTTCTCAATTTTTTTTCTTTATCTGTTCTTTTCTCAGCTTACTTTATTAACCACTCCAAAATTACGAGTATTAATTTCTGTTTGTTGCTGTAAATATATTTTTATTCGTTTGTTGTTTTCATTTGCTAATTGATCATATTTTGCAGTTGTTGCATTTACTGTCAATAAAAAAATGAGTAAATTTAGTCTAGTCATTCATTGAAGAAATTATTCGTAAGACTTACAATCAAAATCAGTATGATCATTTTCTGATGAGCGTTTTTGATATAAAATTGATTCTAATAACCAATTAATGTTAATTACTTGTACAGTTTTCCATCTGAGTGCATGTTGATATTTTTTACCATCGGCACTTTTTGTTATTAGATGCGTTGTTGCGACTATTCTATCTGAGGTATTGTAACGATTTAATGTTTCACTATAATCTGCACCAAAATATTTACATAGATTAACAATTGCTTGTCTATGAGAACCGAGATAACCACTAAGGGCAATCGTACAATCATTTAACATTGTTCGATTACCATCATTATCTGATAATAATATCAATGGTTTGTAAAATGGACACGAATTTGGATCAATAATTTTTTTGCACTTATCACAATCTTGTAACCAATGAAATGTGACTAGATCAATATTATTCTGTTTAACATCAAGTTGATGCATATGTAAATACAATAATTCTGGTACAATCATTAAAATTTGTTTATCAATATTTGTTGGTTTTAGCGATAGAAATGAATTATATTCATTTGTTAACTTTTTAATATTTTTATAGTGTTGACTGTCTTGATCAAATAATGTTGACGTCAATAATACATAATTTTCCAAAATACTGTTCTTATTCTTTTCCTCCTCCATCAACGGCTGTTCATTGCCTGTAATCACATTCAATGTTCTACTGGTACTAAGGTCTGGTGTTTCATCAATCATCATTGTTGTTCCTTTTCTCGATGGTGTATTACATTCATCCGTCGGAGTAAATTGATGTGTATAAAAAACTTTATCTTGACTTGTGGTAAAGTGAAAAAAGTCTGTAACTAATTTTTCTCGTGTTTCACTTTGAAAATCTGCATCTCTATCCGTATTATTATCGTATGAACAATATTCAATATTCTCTTGAAATCGAACATTTTGTGATTTTCTTAATCGACGTTTTTGTATAGAAAGTTGTTGCACTTCTGGTTGTTTATCGTTGTTGATTTCAAATCCATCACTTGTTTGACCTTGCATACATTGTTGCTGTGCTGATTTTCTTTCTTCGTTAACACAAACATTTTGTGAATTTATTCTTGGTGATCGACGACAACCATTAGTGAGAGCAGTCTTTGTGTGTGAAATCTAAAAAAGAAATTCAATCATTATACAAGACTTTCAAAAAAAAATACTAATTTTTATGCAAAGAAAATCATTATCTATAAGTAGAGATTTTTACCCATCTCAAGTGCCATAAGAAAAACGTTTATTATACGCTGATCTTTCTATTTCACGAAATAAAAACGTTAGTTTCTTCAAATATCTCAAAAACAACGTAAATGATCTTACTTTAGAAGGAATTGTCTTTAATAATGGCTGTTCATTTTGTTCTTTTGTCTCAATTTCTGTTTGATTCTCAACTGGTTGAAGTATATTAGCTGATGTAGTTGATGATTGTTCTTCAGCCGATATATTCATTAATTGGGAACTATAAGTATTGCTTGATTTTCGTCGATTTAATTTTAGTACAATTTTTTTCTGTTTTTGGCTTGACTGTTGATTTGATGATGATGATGATGATGATGATGATGATATGTTTTCATTATTTACTGCTGGTAAAACCTGCAATTCTGATAAAGATATATTCTGTGGCTGAGATTGAAATGAAAATGTATTCTCTGTTGATCGATTGTAATGTTTCAATAATGATTGTGGTGAGAGTGTATATTCAGTTAATAAATTTGGCATAATCGATGATGTAGATTTCTTCTTTTGTGATGATACACAAGACATGGATGAATCCTATTAAAAAAAATAATATAAGACAATTATTATTTACTTCTAAAAGATATAAATACTATTTATACATACAAGAAACGATTGTTCAACATTAAAATTTGACAAAGGAAGATTTTCGTCGGGTGTTGTGTATACTTCATA